GGGCAGCTGGCGCTCAGCCTGGCTATGGCGAGCAGCCCAGCTTGAGGAGGAGGAAGAAGGGGGCTAAGGAGGAGAGTGGTGAGGCACCTACCTGGCTATGGTGGACACCGTCTTTATCACCTTGTAGAGCGCTGCATCTGGAAGGCCCCAGTTGGGGTAGTGCCGCACCAAGGACGCTCGAGGCAGAGTCAGGCATGGCGGACCAGTCAGCAACATCACAACTGCTTTTGGGTTGTCCTTTGGACAGGACTGCAGCGCCATAGCTGCTTTGGGTTGTCCTTTGGACAGGAGGGCAGGGCCCTCAGTAGTCCGCCATAGCCTTTGCATGAGAGAGGAGGCCGAAGGAGGAAAGCCATAGCTATGGTGGACTTGTTGTTGTTGTTGTTGTTGAGTCAGCAGTAAGAGGGAACTTCGGATATTGATTCTGGTTCATCTATTCATTGTTATTATTTCATTTCTTTCGCAATTGGGTGGCATTGTCTTTCATTGTGAATTTGCACTTTGGAAATGACCAGGATCGTAACAGTTGTAACTTTGGGCAGGCTGACTCATCCATAAGTTGGGTAGCTGGTATTATGCCCCTGATAACACAAAGGGCAGAGAGACAATATAAAACTTGGCTATTTTTCTTTCTAAACATAAGCTGATGTTTGGATGGGGATCCTCATAAGTTGAGGTGATTTGACCACTCGTCTGAAGACAGAAAGAACTTGTGACTCTATTTGTTGAATGTAGTTGTGTTGCGGAGGTTGAGCGAACGCATAAGTGGCGGGTTGTTCAGTCACACGCGCTTGTTGCTTGTCTACCCTGGGCTAGACTACTCATAAGTTGGGTAGCCTGGTTCTATGCCATATGTCTCTGTTTGGGCTGGCTAGGCACATCATAAGTTGGTGTGTCCTGGTCATATGCCTTTCGTCGTTTGTTTAGGCAGAGGCTGGACCCCTCATCAATTGAGGTGACTCAGTTGTTTGTGTATGCCGAAAGTTTAGGCTGACCAGCCTCACCAGAAGTTGGTGCGGCCCGGTCATACGCCTTATGTCGATCGTCTAGGCAGAAACTGGTCACACCATAAGTTGGTGTGATTTGGTCCTATGCCCTAAGCATACTTGTGCTACCAGACTAGGGCACCATAAGTTGGTGTGGCCTAGTCATATAAACTGGCAGGTCAGTCACATCCATAAGTTGGGTTGGTTGATCCTATGTCTTATTTAAGGAAGGGAAAAAAGTTGAGTGAGGACGCCGCCCGACCGGGCCTGCCCTGCCGGGCTGGGCCTAACTGGTTGGGGCCGAGGGGGGCCGCCCGGGTAAACCGGGTAGGACAAAAAACCGCCCAAAATTTTTTTTCTTTTTTTTTTAAAACCGGGGTC